ACGGAAAATTAGAAATAACGGAACGTCACCGCGTCTCTCCATCCTATTCATCAAATTGCTCCCGAAGATTTATCTACTTCTGTCCGCGCATCAAACCTGCGTAAATGTGTGTTGACAGCATTCTTTTGTTTCAGTTCCGTTACGTTTCCAACACTTTAAATTAATAAAGGCAGTGAAAAATGAACCTGTACCACATTAGGGTCAATTAACGTTTTACAAACATGTCAACAAATATAACGCGTCCATTTAAAGAATTATTCAGCGACCAATTAAAGACTACCCACCGAATAACTCATAGCGTAGGCAATAATCCTACAAAAAAAATCCTATGGACGAATTGTGTACACCAATTTATACCCAACGTTGCTAAATCCATGAATTTTGTGAATAAACGGAATAGACCGCAGTTCTGCTATTTATTGCTAGCTAAAAGGTGGACGCTACTCAATGGTTTGCTGTATTTTTTATCTGTCTTGATTTATATTCGAAGAAGCGTTTGCGTGTGTTCTCTTTTGTTTATTTGTAGACAACCCAAATAACTAGCGGGACGATACGAATCCACGCCGTAAAGCCATCGTTTTCTCTGATACAAGAACCGCATACGCTTTCAGAGGGGGATTATGCTGCGATTTGCGGTAATGCGGTCGTCTTTCCTCCCTCTATGTAGCCTTTCCTCTTTGACCACCCGCTAAATCTTTTCGCTGCAGTTCGAGCTAGTAAAATAATGCTGAGCTAACCAGAGATATAACGAGGATGCTTAACTATGTGTGCAAACACAAAAGCGCTGTTCGTCAAATGGGGGCGGAAATAATATCTTTGATATCTTTAATAATGTCCTGAAGCGTAAGGAAACTGTGTAGTCAGTGAATTTTTAAATTTACAACAAAGAAATAACCCCAGTAATGACAGTTGAACAAATATGTAGATGTTTTAACGCAAATTTATATATTAAATGCTAAACCTCTAATGAAATAACATGTATTTTTAAATATACCTATAAGTTTATTTACTTTGCAGCACACAAATATATATCTATTGACTTAATATTTGACACCAGCGATATTAGATTATCTCTTTAAAAACATTTATTTCACAAGACAAACGTCTATTTCTTTCACACAAATCTTAAATCATATAGTCAGGATTGTGACTTTTATTTCATAATAAAAATGGCAAACCAAATAATCATTATGTCCATATATTATGGACGCAAAACATAGATTTCGCTCACGAAATTGTTGCCATCTCTATAAAATATTACTCGACAGCAACAACTTGAGATATCAGATAAAAACAAAATTGCTTTCTGTGCGAATAAGTAGAAACCGATCTGATTTATTACATTTCGAAAACTCCACAGAGACTACGTGTTTATATGAAGTCCCTCAGTAACAACTTGCGGCCACCGTAATAAATATGAAAACATTCAAGGTTTAGAAGGCAAGATATAATACGAAAACATTTTTTTTCTCTTCAAAAAACTATAAAATATACCTTTTTTTATTAAATGCCAAAAGCGATACGTTCAATTGAGAATTGGCCATAAGTATGATTATGCCTCAAGAATTTAAAAAGTAAACCGATAACAGTTTCCATCAAAGAGTTTTAGTAGTAGCAGTAGTCACCAATACAGGGCTGCCAAATCGTATACCGGATGCAAAAAGTGTATAACATGGTATTTAATATATTTTGTATCTAGTTTGTAAAACAGATTGCCTTGGTTGAATACCGAAATAAAAATTCAAAGGTGAAGTAAATTTTGTGAGTTAAAATACCAATTATTTGAGAAACGATCGATCGAACGTTGCTTAATATTATTACATATTCTAGGTAGATCTAAGTGATAAAAATCAATATTTGTATTTTATTTAATTATTGTATTCTACTTTTTTTTACTTTGTCGCTTTGTTATACAAACATTTGATTCTGTATAATTTCAGTAACCAAACGGTGTAAAATAAGTAGGCTCTACAGTCTACTGGCAGCCCTGCATTATGGTAACAAAAACCGTGGACTCGCGTTGTTTCCGGCGACGCATTGACTTAAGATGGCAAACAATCACTATCGTAATAAGCGTAACGAGCCCATGCCGGGCCCGTTCTCGTCTGCATTGTGTCAGGCCACGCGACCGCCTTGACCGGCGACAACTGCAACTTCCAACAATTCCAAAGAAAACTCAATTCTCCTCCGCGATTAGACGCGCTCGTTTCCATTATGGGTTACGTCGCGTTGCGCCATAAAGCGCAATTAGTCTAACGAACTGACACCAACTATGGATAATGCTCATCAAATTTTAAAAATATATCGCCATTATTGTATATTTACCTATATATAAAGAGTAGAAATCAATTCTTAATAATATCAATACTGGAAGAATATTGTCATAATAACTATCAATATATCGGTATTGATGTATGTATAATCAATTATGTAATAAATGTAACAATACGGTACGAATATTTTGTCATAAATAACTATCTGTCAATGGATAGCTTAACGGGTTAGTGCTCAGAAAACGCATAATATGCTGTATTAAGAAAAGAAAACTAACAAATGTCTTAACGGTCAAAGCATACCAATATATTAAATTTAATAAACTAAAAATGGTGTTACGTTATAAGTCAATAACATCATTACGGTGATAGGAAAAACGATACTGGGCCGTTGCATTGGACGAATGGATGAGGCAAAGATCATCCGAGAGATAATATGCAATTGCGCACTGTTTATTTCTGTATTGTTAAGTCGGGCAGAGTCGATCTTCGAGTCAGCGTGTCAATGATGTGTCAGGCGTGCGAAGTGAGCCAGAAAATGTAACTCAACCTTTTGTCCACCAACTACCTACTCCGCGACGCATGCTCGCAGCACTGAAATAATGAGCTCTCCTTTACAAACAAAGTTAGAATAATAAGCTTGTTCCATTTCGTGGCATACAATTTAGATATTGTCACAAAAAAGCGACGAATTTTAACGAGACGTAAAGTGAACTTAGCTCACTTTATAGCGCCTGCTACCATGGAAGCTATATAGCGGTGAATTTACGAGTGTGGTCTTTAAAAAGTAAAGAAAAAACTGTTTTATGTGAAAAAATACCTACATTAAAAAGTTATTATTATGAAAATGTAGAGTAACAATGATGGCTTTATTATTTGATTTCATGATAGGTGCTAAAATTGAGACATATAAAAGACCAAGACTTTATTGTTACTATGAATCGTCTCCAATTTATTCAATTAAAATTATTATAAACAAAATTATTTAAATGATGTTTTAAATAATTGTTCTATTACTTAATAGTCTTTATTTTGTTAAAGTTTGAAAATGCAAAGGACAGTTTTAAATATCTTTGAATGCCTTAAAATTCAATATATACATAAAACGTGGGAAGTTTAATAAACCCCGATAAATATTGGTAAATCTTATTTGAGTTTTGATTTAATATTTTGGTTTAGACGCTGATATGAAAACATGACGAAAAGATTTTTTAACTCCGAGATAAGATTAAGGACGCCAATGCTATAACGCTTGTCGAAATATATTATAGTTAGTTGATAGGTGCGATATCTCACAACATTTCTTATCGCGTAGCGCCAGAAAGGTGCAAACATCATATGCAAACAGCCTATTTAAAAACTAATATATGTACCTATTATATTATTATAGGGCCTCGATCCGTTATAAAATTTCCCGTACGACTTAAACACTTGCCACTTTTTATTCTTTTAATAAACCGACACATAGCGTAGAGTAGCGCTCAAGTAGGGTTTGGCAGCAAGCCATGCAACGAATGGCTTGTAAAAACCGCGACAACAGCAAAGACCATGGAGCGAACGTAGTACATTATATATTGTCTATTCACATTAGTACCTACGTGCAAACTATATAAGTTAACGTTAGTTTCTTTTTGTTCTGTACTTCATATGATAATTAACGCTTAATAGAGTATCAAAACTAATAAATTTGAGTGTAAAGGATTGAGGACTAGGAACACGTAGGCTCGGAATGCAATTGCTATTAGATAGTGAAAAAGGTTTTATGAACCCTGATTATTAATCAGTGATAATAAATCGCCCTAGATATATCCAGTATAGAATAAAATTGGCATAGATATAGGGGATCAAAGTGCATCGTGGGCGCACGACCCAATACCTCAGGCGCACATTACTTGCGCACGCGCACCGGACCTTTACAAAGCGAATTGATGTTTTATCTCCATTATAATTTTTTTTAAACTGTCAAAGTTGTTAAATGTAAAAGTCTTTTCGTCTACCCCGAGTTAAATCTTCGTAAACAAAGCCACTTATATTATCCCAACTAAGTTTTAATTAACGTACATGCGAATAAATGTAAACCTAAACTTGAAAATTAAACGAAGCACTTAAGATGGACCTTAATATGTAACGTTACACGGGAATGGAATAAAACAAATTGAACGATTATTTTATGTATTTAAATATTTACATTATTTCAAATACAGTTTTTCTTATTGCCAATTAAATTAAATGAATTAAAGGTAATCAATCGGACCGGTGCGTATCGTGCTCTACGTCCTACGTTTGAGGTTATGTTGTGATAACTGTTTAGTGTAACAGCCGGCGACGCATCGCTGCAGCAGAAATTTCCACTGAAAATCTGAAGCGCAAGGGTTATTTTCGCTTGAAGCCTGCAAGCGGGCATGTCAAGACGGCGGTGGAAATGCGCGCGCAACCGGCATGGCCGCCACCGCACACCTGACTACCGATACACCTTGACATCTTAGCCGAATTACAGCACGTATTATGAAACTAATGCACGCTCTTAGCGCCTGACGCACAAATAAAGGCCGCTGTGTTCATATACACTACTTTGACTGACCAAGAACAACAATATCGGAACGTAACTAATCAGCTGATTACCAAACATTCGCCGTATTTATACATCAGCTTTATAATTTCATCACATAAAACTGTAACGTATCGCGTCTTCCGTGTCGCGTTCAGGTGGGAAAATACGGAGGTTTAGGGCGCCGGTAGGCCTTCGGCGGCGAGTGCATCGGGTGCACTTCCGTCGGCGGCGTGGGCGGAGCGTGGCCTGCGGCCGACTTGCGTACCTGGACTAGTCTGCCAGCTGAGGCCCCCGACGAACATCTTCCTGCAACACAAACATCACGATTAGAGGCGGTGGCGCGGTCTAGGGCTGCGGCGCTGCGGGCGGCGGGACGTACCCCGGGTCGTTGGGCACCTCGGCGGGGCTGTGGGCGGCATCCTGGCTCTGGGTTTCCATGGATTTGAGCGCCGGCGGCGTGGGGCGGGCCGTTGGGCGCACTACGACTACGAGCGAGCGACGACGCGGCGGGGACGGCTCCCGGAGTCGCTCGGTTGCACTACCGACTACCGGCACGAGACTGCCGTGCCGCGGCGCACCCCTCCACGCAGCGCCGCCGCCCGCCCCCGCCGCCCGCCCCCCCCCCCCCCCCCCCCCTGCCCCCCCCCCATAGCCCCGAGTCGCCGTGCCGCCCGCGCCGCGCCGCATCGATTCATTCACTCCGTACACAATTATTCATACTCGCAGCACGATGGACGCCAGGAACGACGCGCTCGGAACCACCACGTGAGCGCGCGACACGTGCTCGCGCCCAACTCCCCCCCCCCCCCCCCTCCCCCCGCGCGTTCCGCCCGCTCCCCGCGCCCGCCCCGCGAGCACGCCCACCGCGCATCCACACTCCGCCATCCAACCCCCTCACACCGGCGAAACTTTCAAAACTTCGTTAAAACAAATATTCGAAATTAAGGCTCTCCCAGTCGCGGCATGCGAAGTATTCCGAACCTCAAATCTTCTAAACTATCGAAGATGTTTTACAAGCTTTAAAATAATTTAATTAAATAAAACTTTCCTTTTTGTTTTTCATTTAGCACCTATGACGCAATATTTTATTTGTACTTCGTAAGAACGAACCGACGTAATCGTGATCTCGAGTTTTTATGTCGTAAATAGAGATAATTGTTCGGATGACGGCAAAGCGAGCCAACATTGCGAAATAGTGTAGGAAAAACATGTGACGTCATTAGAAGGCAGCGCGTAGCTGCCGACGCGTGATGCTACGATACTCTACGCTCGGGAGTGTTACGCGCAGAATCATGTACAAACACAAACATTACTTAACAACAATACAATATTATATAAATCAGATAAAATAAAGCTAATACATTTTTATTGTTAATATATTTTGATTTCTTTATTTATAAAATACAAAGGAAAACGAATCATAATAAAAGAAATTCATGAAAAAATTTTAAAGACATTTATTATCTAATTAACACTAACACATTTTAGAATTGGAAGTGTTGGCAGTACACTTTTAAGCGACAAATTGTATAAATAGGCATGTGTAGAATAAATGTCAACATCTCAGATTTTTGCATGAAACAATCATATAAAAATATATGTACTATGATCAGAAAAATTTACAAAAATATATCAGACTTGTTAAAATTAACACTCGTTATAATAGACAACAAATCCTGGCACTTAACATTGCTTATAGTGCAAAAAAGCTGCGAATTGAGTTTGAAATCATCAAAATTCTATGCAAGATCATCGTTAGAATTCCTCTCTCGGTAAAATTTTATTCCAAACTATTAACGGTATTATAAATTCTATAGAGACATAGTGGCATAGAGAAAAATTTCTGAATAAATTATATACATCGGTCACCGATGAAATTTTAATCGAACATAAAATGTATTTTCATTTATAAAATTTCTACTTCCTACCCTCAGTTTTATTGACTTTCGGTAGGTTACGAGGACAATATTAAGCGTATTAAATCTAGATTAATTGAGGTAAATCACGTCACTGCCCGATACAGACAACACAATCAACGCCTTCAATGCCGCGCGAGTTTACGGAGCCATCGGTTTGTTAAGGACCTTAACAATGTATGTACGTTTATATTAATCGTGGTCGACTTACTGATGCCTTGAAACATAACAGTAAGTCGACCACGTGTCATTTTGATCAAAGTATTAATGGGATCAAAATGAGACGTACGTACCAGAGTCCAGTATTCACTGGTCCAACAAAATCAATAAGCAGCCGCCTGCCGCCTGCCTTGTACTATACAAAACATATGAGTACAAAGCGTGAATATATTGAAAGTTCGGTGAAGAACTCGATGTGTCGAAATGATATTATATACAAATACGAGCTAGATATGCCAATAGCCCGCCAATACTAAGACATTCAAACTACGCCAATCGGTGTAATTTCTGTTCTGTTCGGTTTCTTTCTATCTATGGTTAGTGTACGTCATATGCAACTCTAAATACTGCTATTTGTTTCCGTATCATATGAACTATATCATCTGTCACATTCAGATAAATATGTTCGACTTGTTAACCTGTTGGCGTTTCGTACGGACATATAATAAAATAGAGACAGAAAAAATCGCGAATAAAAATTGCAAGCTCTTGATACATTTAATAAAGAAGATCAGATTAACAGATAATATCCACATTTAGTACATTACAAATGCAAATTCCGAATACCATCGTTAAATTAGACAAGAGTTAAATACAAAATATATTAATTATTTTTAAACTATTCAATGCTCATGCAAATGCATATAATAAAAATAATTAAATATGGCGAACACACAGTCATGTCAGTTAATTATTCAAGCGATGGCTCGGCTGGCTTTCATTTGATAAAGCTATATTCGCCCGTACCATTACACAAATAGAACCTGTTATACAGGTTTGAAACATATACTGTGATTGCTTTTATATGTCACAGGGGCTCAAAATAAATCTTCCGAAACTCTATTCGCTTTGTAAAACAAATAATTTTTAGACTGATTTTCATTATTAGATGCCACAAAAATAATCAATAAAATGGATTTTCCATAGAGTTTTTCTAATACTTTAGTTTTTAACAAAACAATAAAATTAAACATACATAGAATTTCATGACTTCTGGGGAATTTCATGACATTACTTATGTAAAGACACGAGATTATTTTTTAATTACATAAACATTTTTAACCACCCTGAAAATTCTATTAAAAGGCTCGTTTAGTTAATTTATGGTAGAGAATTTAAAAAAATGCTATAAAAAAATTAAAATACTCAATTCACAATTTTTTTGCTTCTGAAATATATTTAGACGGCTGATATTTTATATTAAAAAAGATCACAACCTTATGACAACAAAGAAAAATTAAACAGATTTAAGATAAAACTAGTCTATTATTAAACTACACTACAATAGAATGTTTAAGCTAACATTAAACAGCACAGCCACAATACATAATTTTAATTATTTGTTCACGACTATTAAACGTGTCTTAATCTAATATATGTCATAACCAAAATCTATATATGCAGCTGACACCTTACGCAAACACAGAACAATTATTAACAAATTTTTTCGTTAAATAAGGGTCAAGTAAAAGAATGCAGGATGCATAAGATGTATATCAGTTAAATGACCTATAAAAAATTAATTAATTAGATTATAAAAAATACTAAGTGCATACATGTTGCAAGAAGTTAAGCAAACATTTTTTCTGTTGTACTTTGACGTGTTTTATGAAACAAGCAAAAATAAATTCAATATTATTACTAATGTTCTCGTATATAAGTAGAAAAATACGTCAAAAAATTTGTAACAAGCACAAGCAACAAAATCTTGGGAATATATGTTCATAATCAACAATATTTAAATATAACAAAGATATGCAGCGTCAAAAGTTTATTTACTGACGATAAACAAAAAGAACAGTCTTTATTTTAATAAATGAGTAAAATTGCACGTAAGCGACGCAAAAATAATGCATGTTATACTTTACTTAAAATACAAATTAAAGCTTAGAAAGCATTGCAACACGATTAGCATAAAGTCCTTTTTTCCAAAATAATAAAAATTAAACAATTTTATACCTTATAGAACTATAAAGACACATTTAAAAAAAACGGAACGAATTGAGCTAACAAAATTCAATACAACAAGCTAGCAAAGCTCATTTTTTACATATACAACAAAAAAACAATCAAAAATTGTATATGCTTGAAGCTAAAATTTATGATCTCTGAAGTAGAGATATTTAATGAATCACATATCGATTGTCAAATATTTCTAATGTGTTTCAAATATTCTCACTTTCACCTATTCCAGACCTAGTTTTCAGAAATATGTTTTATAATTATTAAGTAAGTACATAAAAGCATATTATAATAGACAAATTAAACTAAGATTTCTGTAAATTAGTTTCATTTCTGTAAACGGATTCATAAGTTTTATAGAATGAATCATTGATAAGCAACGTATGAGAACATAATTTTTCTCTCAGGTAACAGCTTAAATGCAATAAAATAAATAAACATATATGATAAAAATAACTGGTATATATCACAAGAATAATACTGATCTATATTTGTCTTTTTATGATAATATACAACATGCTTTTACAATCGCGACAATAAATGAAGACACATATAGAGGATAACTTTTTAAAACTGTATTAAGCTTTTACATTTTTTAAACATCAATATTTACAGAGTTATTAAATTTTCCAAAACAAAGAATTTTAGAACACCCTTACGTATAAAACTGTAACGTAAAGTTCATTTGTAAAGGTCACAGAGCATATGAATGTGTTGAATGAATTTAAAAGAGACAAAACATACTGTTAGGAGGGGCTTGTAATGCGAAGCTGTGGCAACGAAAGAAAATGAATGTTTCAGTCAAAAGGATGTTTTTTGTAACGTTAATAGTTTTGTTTGAAAAAAAATTTTATTTATGATTATTGGCAAGTAGCGTTAGACGTGTGTTCATTTATTGTCGCGGTGGTAACGACACGCTGTATATAATATAACATACACAACCTTCCGAAATTCTTTAGCACAACTCAATTTCATATTATTGTAACACCCAAATGGTTACTACATTCACAACAGCAATCATTAAAATAAAAAATTGAATATCAATCATAAATTAAAATGGTTTTAAAGCAATTCCTATTTTATTCACTGAAATGCGGCATTAGAGCAAAAATCATAATAATAATGGTAAATGTATAAATAAAATACAATAAACAAATTGAGAAATATTTACAACTACGAGAGGAAGTAAGTGATCACTAACTTACACATCACATAACGTAAGAGGTAGATAAAAATGTCTTATTCTAATTCTGATGTTCTAATACTGAGATTGTTCATTTTTAAAAGCTAACATCAATTCCTAATATAATATTTATGACACTAGAATAGTGTCCAAATTGGAAACTTATAGCTTTTTATTAAGGATTTTATATTATTTCAATGACTTATTTTACTTCAAGTATAATGTATAAATATATGAAATTAGAATAAAATTGAACAAAGGTTCTGTTCTATTTAACATATTCAATCTTCGGAATTAACTTATCACGGGAGAAAATATTATAAAATTCCTAGTTTCATTTAAAATATAATGTTTCCTTGAGTAAATATTTTAAAAACTTATTGCTGTTTCAATTCAACTGAATCTTCCTTGATCTGACTCCTACGTGGTAGGGCCACGCAGCAGCCTCGGCTCTTGCACGAACTACTCAAATGCGTTTCAAATAAAAAAAAAACTTCAGATCAAGTAAGATTCCACAAGATCAGCATGATAGAGAGCTAAATTTAAGAAATGTCAAATGAGGTTATTTATTAATTAAAGAGATAATGATATTAGAAGGAAAAAGCTGGCTGTCAATTTTTGTGACATTGTACATTTTCTGCATTTGAAGCTAACAAAGCGGATAAAGTGGCGTGAGTAGCGCTCAAGTTACCAGATGTTGGGCAAACAACATTAGAAGAACCATGGTTATTATTCATTATTCCGCCACTTGTTCCGGAACTCACAATAGTGACATTTGGTGGTGGGGTAACTCCATTGGCGAATCCAGTAGACAAAATTTTTTGGGTATTATGCATCATAAAAGATTTACTCGCACCAGAACTCCCCAGCGTAAGCACCTTTTTCAACATCACTGATGAACTACATGCATTATCTATCATGTCTTTAGCAGTTGATATGTTGTCAAAATCGCTAGAACTGGCTGTAACCACAGAATTAATTTTCGAGGTGGTTGTATGTAATGGTGGTCTAATGGAAGTGACATTGAATGATACTCCTGACGTTGCAGCAGTTAAGTTTCTATTTATTATGTTTCTTGACACAATGGCATTGTGCAAAATATTCCCAGTTGGAAAAGATTTCGATGATACATTGATATATTGTGTTGGTGTCCCAATAACAGTGGTATTCGATGTACGGGAACCAAAGCCAATAATGGTGCTAGCTGTACCTTGTGACATTACTGTGCTTATTGCTCCAGTTTTGGTATTAACGGGTAACCTGTAACAGTTCAATTGTCATTAATAACTTCATACAGAGAAGCAAATTGATTAAAAAATGAACGCCATTTTACTAAAAATAATTTGATGTAATGATCTGTGATTTCTACAAAAATTTATTTACTTTAATAACCTTTTCCAGTTATGAAGTTTTGACTTTTTTCTATTTATCTATCTGCATGCCTATATGCATGTCTATGCAGTTGATTTGGCCAGTTTAATTTCTTAAATGGCTGATCTCATTTTTATCAGACTTAAATTGACAGAACACAGCCTTAGCCAATTTACTTCGTGTTTTCTTTCTGCTTAGTTAGTTTCCTTTACATAGTTTGTGTTACAGATATAACATATTAATTTAGTTTGTTTTAATTTGAAAGTTTACAAATGCCATGTGTTGACAAAAGTATAACTTTATCAAGAAAACAATATATAATTTTATGTATAGAAGTTTAGGTGACTATGCAAACCACAGGCCTTTTGAGGTGCTGTTTCTGTTATTTATTTATGATACTAAATTATGAGATATATAAAATATATAATACACGCATTGCTACACGCATTGCTATACCGTAGCATATTTATGCAAATTTTGATGAATCTTTAGTATACATGACTTGGTAAGTTATATTAGGAGTACCACCCATCTTCACCACCATCTATTTGTAATTACCATTGGTTACTGTGCAAATGTATTTTTTTTAAGTATTTAATAATTATTGTTCTATTTTGCAATCATACACATAAAGTACACAAAGTATTGATACATTAAAAATCTGTATTCAAACTTTTCATCTCAATTACTGTGACATCATTTAGTTCCAGCAAGGTAAAGAGAAATAAAGTCCCATTTCATCAAGCAATTATTTAGTACCAAACATGGTGATGAACACAGACTACTTGACACCAGTATGGCTTAAGCTGTGTAAGACATCCAAAAGATACAAAAGTCATGTGTGCATACTGCTATAATTTTTCAAATCATCAGGGATTTTAACATTGCAAGTCATACATCCCAGATGGTAGACCTTAATGTGAATGAATATAAAATATTCTGATAAAATAAGGCCTCACTAGTTTCACAAATATGGCGAAAAGTTATTTAACTACAATATTTATCTTAAAATTTTTAATTGTTGTTCCAGAAATATTTGAAAAATAAAATTCACACCATCCAACTTTTACTTTTTGTTGAAATCGAAACAACATACCCTCTTATCATCTGTGAGGTAGATCCAGGAATGCTTTGTATGGTCACAGTTGCTTGTGGTAAATGATGTATGGTGCTTTGCCCAGTTGGTGGTATTGTTGAACTAGTATAATAATGTACAGTGCTACCGGTGATGCGCGGCGGTGCTGCAATATGAGCGACTGGAACACTATGTACCATCCCACTGGTAGTTGAAGCCACTGTGATACATTTTGTATTTGGATTGCTTGTGAACTGGAAATAAATAGAAATATTCTAAGTAGGTGTTCTAAGTTTGGGTACAAAAGATTTTTAGTAAACAGAACATAAAATGGGCTTCAGATTTGAGACATCATATTTAATGAATATTATTAATGGTACAAATGATTTGTAATAATTTCTAGGTACAATAGGTTACAATTAGGTACAATAAGGTAATTAAATACTTATTTAGTAATTACTTATGTAATTATTACATAAGTATTTGATTAAAATGAAAAAAAATTAAATTAAAAAATCATTCATATTTAAGTTAATTATTATCTAGTAAACATATGGTATCCTACTGTACCGGAGTTTATATTTTAGTATTTAAATATAAAAACATATATTTAAATTGTAAGTATATTTAGTTAAATTAAATTATAAGTAAATAATAACATATAATATATAAAATGATAAACTTAGTAATGATAATTAGAGTTATATGATATGTGGTTTCAACTAACAAAATAAATCAGTTTTTCGCCAAATGAATTTTTAACTTATATGAAACTATATACCATATAAAAATAGGACAATAAACACAGTAATATAAAATCACTTACATTATCTGTATTAAGTGTAGTACCCAAATCAAATTCGTCACCAACTAAGGTTATTGTGTCTGGATTTGCACCGGTTAATTTCTCAATTGTCTTTCGTGCATCAGAATCACTTTCAATGTTGCCTAAGTTGCGACTTAGAAATTCAATATCAGCTTCAAGAAGACCATCTACTAAATGATTCTGCACATCATCAGATTGTTTGCAAATGGTAAATGCCTCATCATTTTCTAATTTAATGTCCTCTACTTTAATATCTTCAACATTTATGTCATCAATATTTTCAACTTTAATATTATTCACATCTAAATCTTCTACTTTGATTCCATTAACTTTTATTTCATCTAAATCCTCTACTTTAATACTGTCAACTTTAATGTCGTCCATGTCTTCTACTTTTATATCAGCAAAATCTGTATCTTCCTTGAGCATGTTTGATACATCTGAATACTCTCTACCTGTTTCTGGATTAGTCATATACTGACTAGCATTAAAATCACTACTATCAAAATTGTCATGGCTCTCTAATTTAATATCATCTACTTTGTACTTCTCTTCTTGGTCATTACTAGTGGATGGCTGGGGGCTATCGGCATTACTAATATCACCTGGCATAAGGGCCTTTTTAGAAACATATGCTTTTATTTTTCGTAACATAAATGGTGGTACTTTAAATCCTGTTAATTCACCAAGCATAGGCAGAGAACTGTGTTTATAAGCTTCACTGGTTGCCAACTCTTCGATATCTTCTAAAACCTAAAACAATTATACCTCATTACAGCAATTGCTCATATTTGATTCTTTCATGATCGCTATCAGACATGAATATTGTCATGTTTAAAGCTCTAATATACAATACATGTAACAAAATTATAAATAAATTATTATTTATAAAGGGTGTCCAATAAGACTTGACTGAAGAGTGAAGATTTTAACAGTGCTCATGACTGAACATATAACTACTTTACAGATAACAAATAAAAACTATGCCATGGATAAAACTGTTAAGATATAATTATGTTTCAAGATACATCGAAATTATTAAAATTCACGGTCACTGTTCACAATGCTAAAGCATTTTTGGGTCATCGCGAAGCACCTTCTCTTCTCCTTGTGATTCTGATGGAAAATTTTGAGCTCTAGGGAGAAGTCAGTGATGTAAAGAATTGAACTCATGCACATGGCAATATTGAATATAGTAGCAATATTGAATAACCAAACCGTGTTGTGGAAAACCCAGGTTTGTCCATTTCTCGTCGATTTTTGGAATAGGCCATTCCAAAAACGGCACTACACAATATTTTGCACAAATAATTAGGTCTTAAGGCTTTTAAAGTTCAATTAACACAAGAACTCACGTGTACCGACCATGAATTACATCGTGTCTTTGCTGATTGGGTCCTTGAAATGCACCAAACTGATTCGGATTTTTATTTAGAAAAATCGGAGGCTATGACAACAAGCAGAATTGGCTCGGAAAACCCAAGAATTATTATTAAAAAGCCTCTCCATCCTGAATGTCTGTTTACTGTTTGGTGAAGTTTTTGATCTGGCGAGGTAATTGGAAGTTACTTTTTCTAAAATGAGGCTAGAGCAGCTGTTATGGTGAATGGATAAAATAAATAAACATTGTAGAACACATTTTTACACAATATTCTGTCATCCCAAACTAAGCAATGCTTGTACTATGGGTACTAGATAATTGATAAACATACTTAAACACACTTTTCTTTTGTAAATAAATATATAATCATTTTCTTTAAACATCAATATTTACAGAGATATTTACATAATTTTTGAACATCCTTACGTATAAAAGGAACAAAAACGTAAAGTTCATTTGTAAAGGTAACAAAGCATATGAATTGGTTGAATAAATTTAAAAGGGATAAAACATACTGTTATAAGGAGAGACTTCTAATGTGATGTTGTGGCAATGAATGAAAGTCTCTGAATGTACAAATCAGTCAGTTGTAGTTGTATAGGATGTTACAAATTTAGTTTTTTTTTTATCTAATTAGTTTTTTGAATATCACTATTATTTCAATTTTGGCTTTCTTGTAATGTTTACATTTTTTTATAATTATTGGCAAGTGTTCATTTGTTGTCGCGGTTGTAACGCCATCATGTATGAACACCCAGACCCTGGAAAAACACTATGTTCATCACACAATATTTTTGCAGGGATTAAGCCTCACCCTCTGGCGCAAAAGGCTGTTTCACTGCCGACTATGCCAATTGGGTTGTATTATATAATAATGATTAATGATTTTATAAGGATGGAATTGGAAGACATATATGTTGACGACGTTTATTTTCAATGATATCATCGCTCTTTGGAGTGAAAAGTTTTTGAACCATGTTATTTCTCCAAGAAACAATCACAACTGGTCACTGGGATCTTGTGATTTAACCCCTATAAATAATATTGGGGGATATATGAAAAAAAAGGTCTATGTCATTGGTCCAGAATTAATTTGATTGATTTGATTTGAGGACATACAGCCGCAAGTGTGCAGTCTGGGGTTGGAAATTTTATGAAAATATTATGACCGTGCAAGTGTAGCCTCGCAGGACATTTGGATAATATTGTTTTCAATTATTAATTGTGTATGGCCCATGTTTACAATTAAATAAACATCCAATGATTTCAGTTGAAAATACTCGTTTTTTCTTCCATATGGATTGGACTTCTAATTGGAAGACCCTGTATTATAAAACAGCTTTGCTTACCATTATATAGGTTTTACCACCAACAGCATTAACTAAATTATGACTAGCAATCCATTCTTTATCTGCTGTATCTGCAGGGTATCTTAAAAGATCAGCATGTCTAGTGTATAAACGCCCCCTTGCATTACCTAAGCCAAGAACCTAAAACAGAATTTGTTAGGTTAGGTTAGGTTTTAATTTATCAAATTATGTTTAGGTAGTATATGATGTTATAGAATAGCAGTTTTGTTACACTATAAGGATAATTACTTTATGAGCATGAGATCCCATTATGAAAAGAGTGTCCTGGGTTAATCTAGCAGGATTCCACTTTTCTGGATCCCTCAGAGCTGGTGGTGGCAAAGGTGATGAAGCATTATCAGACATTTGTTCCTGTTTCAGTTTTTTATTAATTGAACTCAAGTGAGTATCAATTTCACTTTCCTTTCTCTTACTTTGTGATGGACACTGAAACTAAAATATTACATACATACATAGAGTATTGAACATAATAGCAAATAGATAGTTCGTTTTGAGTAGTTTAAACTTTAAACAATCATTAAAAAATGGTGATTTCATTTTTATCCCTGTCTTAGAAAATTGTACATGAAAATTGTTTACCATTGTAAATAAATTCTTAGTCAATCACAAAAAAAAATATTTTTGAATTTCTTGATGCAATCTCCTGATAATTTAAAAATGTTTTATTGAGCTATCTCATTTCCTTAATATTTTAACAGTATTGTTGATATCATTAACCAAACTCGAAATGAAAGATGAAAGAAGAAGAAGTGATAAAGGCCAGTAAAGTTATTAAGAAGTATTTTCCCCGCACCTAAAGTTCTGACTGTAGTAAACATAATGTGCCAAAGGCCGGAAGTAAGTGTTTTGATTGGTCAGCACCCAGTTGCAACCTCAAGCCATTACATCATGTCTGGGAGACCCTAATCAAGTATTACCCCTCAAATCTTCAGGTAATCAATTATCCAATAGCATGTAATTTCAGCTAGAGCAGTTGTTGTAAATTTTTAAAAGTATGCAAGTGATATAACATAATTTTTTTTCTCAAAATCGAAATGTCAGTGTCAATGTCAACTTCGTAATTATTGTTAGGGATGTTTCTCTGTAGATTGAAATTTTTTTTGTACAAAAAACTATACGCAATACTGTCCCGCTATTATAAATAATTATGTAAATTAAGTGAGTGACAATGACATTGGCTTTTTGCTTGATTGCTCTTTTTTTTTAAAGGCATTTTATATTTTTAAAGCTACTTACATTTGATTGCTTAGCAAATTTCGAATCAGCTGTTGTATCGCTTTCACCAGTCTCATTTGATGAAGATGTTGGCCGAGATGGTGTTGTATACAACAAACGAGTAGCATCTAACATGGCTCGACAAACTGCTTTAACCTTTAAAATTTAAAGAAGATTTTTACAAAGATATACAAATTAACATAGTTAAAATATACATGAAAGTTTTATGCATGTAAATGTTTTTATAAGTAATTATGCACCATTGCTAAGTAACAGCCGTAAGAGTTCAATGGGTGCTATCCTTTATTTAAATATTCTCAAGCAACCTGAGTTCAATCCCTCGGGCCTGAAATTATCAATTTTAAGTGCTGACCTATCTTATCCTCTGCAGTGAAGGAAAACATCAACAATGCCCCAAAAGATAGTGTAACTAGTTTTAATAATAAAAAATAATAGTACGTTATACATCTACATAACATGTAATAGGGTCCCCCAAAAGACATTGAAACTAGTTTTAATAAATATATTTAATCCTTACCTTGCCGTAACACAGTCTGTTGACTAGCACGGAAGGTAAAGAATTTTTACCAGGATACCGCCAATTAGATATGTTTAAATTTAACAAACTACCCGGCTATTACTACTGATATACATTTTGTAAATAATAATTCATTTGTTTCTCCATAACAGTAACAGAGTAATTTGTTTTGTTTTTTTCTTTTCTTTTGTTCCATATAATGTAATAATTTCTATAGTGTTATTTTTCTGTTTGATTAAATTATAGTTTAACTGTATGTTATATAGATTGTTGTGTGGTGCAATGTAACTTACGATGAAATAAAAATATCTATCTATCTATCTATTTAACATAAAGTTAATTAAAACATTTAACAAATAAAAAATAAAAAGTTCACCTACCTGATCTTCACCTACAGATTCATCCCCCAAATTCAACCTTATATTGTTTACAGCAGGCACAAAAAATTTCTGTAACAGTGAGAAAGATTCTATTTAGCTAAAACTTATTAATATGTTAACTGTCCATGACCCACATGTGGGTTTTAACAAGAGGTCCGTGCCATTCATGTGTGGCACAGCTCCTCCCAACTTATATCATAACAGTGTACGGTTGTAACGAACCGTGACAATAAATGAACACATGTCTAACGCTACTTGTCAATAATCATAAAAAAATATAAAACATTAACAAAATCCATAATTTAAAGAATTTTTTTTAAAACAAACTAATTAAATAAAAAAGATACAAAATTTGTAACATCCTATACAACTACAACTGACTGATTCATACATTCAGAGACTTTTTCATTTGTTGCCACAGCGTCGCATTACAAAAGTCTTCTTCTAACAGTATGTTTTATCTCTTTTTAATTCATTCAACCCATTCATATGCTTTGTGACCTTTACAAATGAACTTTACGTAACAGTTTTATTCGTTAGGCTGTTCTAAAAATGTTTGTTTGGTAAATTTAATAACTTGGTAAATATTGATGAATAACCAATGTAAATGCTTAATAAAATTTTAAAAAGTTATTCTCTATATAGTGTGTTGTTACAACTGCAACAGTAAATGAACACATATATATTTAATAAGTAAGAGTATTCAATTGTTTTTATGAATTTATACTTAAGAACCCATAGCAGATCAAGGGCTGTTTGAAAGAATGCTTGCTTCGGGCCATGTCCCTGCTTAATCCAGCACTGTTTTAAAAGAATATTTAATGACAATAAATATACTATAAGCAGTAAGTAAAGTTAGCCTAGATCAAACCATAGCTTATGGAGTATTCCATATAACCAAAATAATCCAAATAACCAAACAAGTAACCAAATTGATGTTCTAAATATTAAACATTTTAATAATTTCTTTAAGAAAACATTAAATATTACCTCTAAATATTTTCTGATAATTTGATCAATCTCTCTTGAAACAGCAGATTGGATGGTTTGGCGAAGCATATCCAATGATTTATTGGCACTTGCTCGAAACTCGGCTATAGGTCTGGAATGAGGCTGTACTGGTCCAGGCAAGCTGAATCGTCTATGCATGGTTGCTAAGGTATTTATTGCAATTTGTCTTGAAATGGACTGCTTCTGTAAAATATATAATGTTTAAATATCATAATTATAACTCTAACTGAATCATTTTTCGTGATTTACTGAAAGTATACTGCTTTTTTTATAAAGATACTTGTCATCAAATTTTAAATATTTTGTTATAATATATTTTTTTATTTTATATACTCTTTACATTTTTTAATTTCTCCCAAATAAATAATTAATTACTAGTTACGATAAATTAAATAATATTTATCAAAAATTACCGTATGCATATTACAGGTTGTAATAGCTCTAGGGGGCAATGTTTTAACTGGTGCTTGGGTGTTCCATGGGTTAGTAGGAAGATTTTCTGCAGTAGTGTTGATAGATGCATTGACATTATTCCAAGCTTTCTGAATCACCATTTCGGTAAATAACCAGCTATAAAAATATTTATGTAATTTTTTTTGTTATTAATGGAAATTATTTTCAAAAACCATTGTCGTTCAATCGATATTACGGTACGAATCGGGAACAGTGTTACCAATATAAATGTCTTATCTGTGATACCAATTACCAAATGTTCAATGTTCATAAAAATGCTCCAAAACTCAGAGCAATTCGAAAAGTCAATAAAATTCTCTAAAATCAAACCAAAATTTCCTAAAAGTAAAATTAGTAACAACATTTTTTATAATATCAAACGGAGCAAAATAAAACTATTTCATTAAATTTGGTCAAGAAAATTAAGGTAATGTAATTAATTTTTAATAGGATATAAAAAATGAATAATAATTATTAGTATGAATAAATTGAAAATTTTATTGTAATCGTATTCGACGAAAATAAATAAATATTTTAGGACACATTTTTACACAACATTTTGGTGTCTCAAACTATGCAACGCTTGTACTATGGGTACTAGAAAACTGATAAACATTCTTAAACATACTTTTCTTTTGTAAATAAATATATATTATACATATAAAAACATTCAGACACTGGAAAAACACTATATCATCACACAATATTTTTCCAGTAGGTCTTGAGTACGTCTTGAGGTCAAACCTCAGAGTACATATTTTGTGTATACTGAAAATGGGTTAAACTAAAGGCCTTGGACCCCCAGCACTTCGTATTGTCAACCCACCAGAGACGATAGCTATGCTAGATGACGCAAATCGAACAATAGCAAGTCTCCGTAATAGCATTACTTCCGCTGTCGGGAGACCGACGGTTTGACTTTCCGCCCAACCTACGGCTATTAATTAGGCGACCCGAATGGCGTAGTCGGTAGTGTACCTGCCTTCTGCGCCAGAGGGTGTGGGTTCGATCCCCACTAGTGGAAAAATATTGTGTAATGAGCATAGTGTTTTTCTAGTGTCTGGGTGTTTATATATGTATAATGTGTATATATTTACAAAAGAAAAGTATGTTTAAGTATGTCTATCAGTTTTCTAGTACCCATAGTACAAGCATTGGTTAGTTTGGGACTAGAGAACGTTGTGTAAAAAGAATGTGTCCTAAAAAAAGAGGCAAAAAATGCAGCTAAACAGGCATTCGTCCGATACCGATCAAAATTGAACCGAACTCGACTTGGCACCTTCCGCTAGAAGTAAAAGATCTCATATCGGAACAACGCTAACAAGCCATCGAACGATTTTGAAAGGCCTTAATCACCCTAAACACCAAGCACCGGGGCTCTCATCTTCGATGTCTCAAAAGCTTCCGACAAGGTCTGGCACAATGACTTGCTTTACAAGCTGTTCGCACTCAACGTGCCAGACATAATCGTGCACACCATCCGGGCCTTCCCGTTGAATCGTTCGCATGATTTCCGTACTCCCAAGTAACCGCGAGTGTAAGTGCACACACAGTAGTACAAATAGTTTCAAGACAGTAATCGCGACCCGCGCACTGGTCCCTACCGTCAGCTATGACAAACAGGGAGAGGCCCTCCCCTCCAGCAGGTGGCTCCTAAGGCGGTGGTAGACAGGCTGCTCGCTGAGCGAAATTTGTTTGCAATCGAGCTGCCGCGTCCCCTGCCGCCGATGAAGCAGAATCTAAATAATTTTTCGTAATTTTAAGTAAGGTTAAGGGCTTAACGCCACTGACTCAGCTTTTATTAGTATTTATATGGAAATAAACATATTGATTTAAATCGCGTTTTATATCTATTTAACCGATATTTTGGTGTTAGGCATGTTCCAGTATATACGTATTATCTATTGTGTTAGGACTAATAGCCTAGTGTAGCCTTTCATCTTCTGTAACCCATAAATATGCTGGCAAAAACGGCGACATCAGGATCAAGTATAACACTGATAAAAGATTACAGATGCAGACAGGGTTACCAAATTAGGAGTTTTCTCCCCAAATTTAGGTAAATAAATGCGTTGGGATTTTTAAGGGGCGTTATATTTTTGGGGCCATTTCTAGGGATTTCTTAATTCTTACTTTTTCCCTACTTTTTACTTCTTATTACATTTTTAAGAAAAAAAAGTATGAAATAAAAGGCTTGGAGTAATGCAATCTACCCAATCATTTAGTACGGTCTCTCATTACTAAGATGTAAAGTTGAACAATTGAGAAGAGAGATAAGGAGAACAGTCTCTGTATATTAAGAAGTGTCCGCCGTTCATAGTGGTAGCGTAGGATAAATTTTTGAAGAAAGCGCCAAGAGTAATTAAATTTGTTTATCATTGTTTATAAATCAAATTTTTGGAATTACGATAAAAATATTGGTCGTTTAAAGAAATCATTTAAGTCAATTTTTTATTAATTTAAATTCCCTACAACTTTTTGTGAAAATAAGTACATTGCATAAAACTACCATTTCCAGTGCAATTTTCACAGTGTTTATACCGTCTATTTGAAAACGTTGGCGCTATTTAATTTACAATTTTTTTATTTATTTCGGGGGGGGTATTAATTTAAGGTTTAGGGACAAATATTTGCGATAGTTTGTAACACTGGATACAGATTATAACTTTTAGGGATTAGTATGTAAAAAAATATATCGATATTTATCGTATCGACATTTTTAAAAAGTATCGATAATTATCGAGTGAAAAATATCAATATATCGATATATCGTCCATTTTCGCATGATATTCATACCTATTTCGAAACCACTCAAAAAACGTAAAAAAAAGAATAGGAGGAAAATAGTAATTTTTTTTTAAATTAATGATGTGCGAGGAGCATGCAAAGAAATTCTAGTAACATTAAACACGAAACTAGAGTTTCTTTAAAAATATATCGAAATTGACACGAATTGGATAGTCTAGAATAAATATCAAATATCGATATATCGTGAAAAAAATATCGAGTTTAATATTGAGTTTTAGGGAAAAATATCGATATTTTTTTCCATGCCTCATCAGTAATCACTTTCACATTCTAAATTCTAATTAATTTGAAAGTCGATAATCCTTTTAAAGTTTTACGATAAATGGGTATTTTGTTCTACGTTATTTTTATTCAAATCAATTGGTAAAAAATCTCTTTCGTACTACATTACATACAGTTTCACATAAGTTCACTGTTCAATATTCATCATTTATTTTGAAATAGGTTTCATGATTAGTTTTTAATTTAGTTCTTGCTTGTACGTGTTCAAGTGCTGTCGCGGTCACATTAAAAGGTATTAAAAATTGTTATTCATTAATAAATTTACTGACATATATTAATATTTCTACAAAGTCAACAAAATAAAGCATTTAAGATATTCAGCAATAATTTATATTATAACTATTGAATATTTTATTCTGAATAACGATATTGTCTTGTACAAACTAGAAATTGCTTCTAAAATTTAATCCATCAGATCAGTGGTACTTATAAAAACTAAATATTTATGTATTAAGTTTAAAAGTATTTTAGTTTTCAATGCCGTGGTAACTTGAACTTTGTACCTTAAATATAAACAAGTTTGCATGGTTTTCCTATAAAATTAATAGGTACGACGAAATACTTTCGGTTTCGTCTGTTTTGTTTTTGACTTATCAACCTGTAAATTCTATTTCAGAGTCCAAAACAATGCCATTTCACAGCCAATCTACGATTAAAATATATTTTAATAGTTTTTACATAGACATACTACAACACTACATATTATAATGTTCAGTGTAAAATAAAAAGCCATTGTATTCTAACCATCCTCTTATTTTTCACTTTTCACATTGAGGGGATTTTAGTCAGAAGGTTAAACTATAAAAGACTATTTTTACATTATATCTGATATCAGATTTCTTGTATTATCTTTGTTGGCCACTTTGACATAGATTATAAAAAGATGTTTTGATACATAAATAATGAAGATTTATTTAAATTTTATATCAAGTTCATAAGAAGAGATGGAAATAGTGTTTTTTTTTCCTACATGTTTACATTTGAAACACAGAAAGTATTTGCATTAGTGCATTGCATCATTCTTTATCTGAAAATTTGTTTCATTTAGCTGTTCTGCAATATTATGATTAAAGAGGTTAATGATCTATTAAGATTGTAAGATTTATGATTTAAATTACAAATATAATCGAACCCAATTTAATGTCATCATCATCTTATCACTAATTCTTAACCATATTATCACAGATTTCTTTGTATAACTGATAACTATTAAATTAATACAGTAATTGATTCTGTAATCAGCCAGTAAATTATTTAAATCAAGTTAATGAGCTTTTTTTCTTTTTATAGATACAAAAATGTCGAAAATTAAGGCTGGACCTGTTGTTGATGTACTTGGGGATGAAATGACAAGAATTATTTGGGATCTTATCAAGGATAAATTAATCTTGCCATTTTTAGATATTGAATTGCACACTTATGACCTAGGGATAGAATATCGTGATAAGACTGAAGACCAGGTCACAGTTGACTGTGCCAATGCAATTTTAAAATATAATGTTGGTATAAAATGTGCAACAATTACTCCTGATGAGAAAAGAGTTGAAGAATTCAAGTTAAAAAAAATGTGGAAAAGTCCTAATGGAACAATTAGAAACATACTTGGTGGAACTGTTTTTAGGGAAGCTATTATTTGCAAGAACATACCTCGTCTAGTAACAGGGTGGGAAAAACCAATTATCATTGGCCGGCATGCTCATGCTGATCAATACAAATCAACAGATTTTGTTGTCCCTGGAGAAGGCAAACTTGAATTAATTTGGACCCCACCATCAGGAGAGCCTATCAAGCATGTTGTAAATGAATTTAAAGGTGCTGGTGTTGCTCTTGGTATGTTTAATACAGACGCCTCCATTATTGACTTTGCACACTCTTCATTTAAATTTGCTTTAGACAGAAAATATCCTCTCTACTTAAGTACCAAGAACACTATTCTTAAGAAGTATGATGGACGTTTTAAGGATATTTTCCAGGAAATTTACGATAAAGAATATAAAACACAGTTTGAAGCTGCTGGTATTTGGTATGAACATAGGCTTATTGATGATATGGTTGCTTATGCTATGAAATCAGAAGGTGGATTTGTCTGGGCTTGCAAAAATTATGATGGAGATGTACAGTCAGACTCTGTGGCTCAGGGTTATGGTTCTTTAGGGCTAATGACATCTGTTTTAATTTGCCCTGATGGCAAAACTGTTGAGGCGGAAGCAGCTCATGGCACAGTAACCAGACATTATCGCTTCTATCAGCAAGGAAAGGAAACATCCACCAATCCGATTGCTTCTATATTTGCTTGGACTAGAGGGCTTTTGCATCGTGCTAAGCTAGACAATAATGATGAACTGAAGAAGTTTGCTGAAACTTTAGAAAGTGTGTGCATTAATACTATTGAATCTGGAATCATGACAAAGGACCTTGCCATCTGCATCAAGGGCATGAATAATGTGAAAAGATCAGATTATTGTGAAACTTTTGAGTTTATGGACAAATTAGCAGAAAACTTAAAGAAAAGTTTGGGCAAATGACTAAAATGTCACAAAAGTAATTTGTAATCATTTTTTTATGTAATCAAGTTCTATAAATTAATATATGTGGTTAAAAAGGGATTTATATTTAATGGCATTTATTTATCAATTTATTATAGTCAGAGTAATCAATATAACCCAGGTTTTCCTTATAACTTACTGGTGTTTCATTTATAATAGTTAACCACCTGCATCACATCACACTTATAGCTTGTTTTGCATACGGTACACTTTTTTGACATCTTCACAATCTATTTACACAAATTTGTCTTCACAATCTATTTACACAAATTTGAATAAACTTTAAATGGATTATACACAAAAGCCGTTTTATGAATCTCTCCATCCATTGCTGAAAATTCGTTCTGTATCAAGTTTAATGTGTTTAAAAACATTGGAAAGGAGCAAAAATTAATACAGACAAATGAATATCCAGTCCAAAAATTAAAAATTAAACGTCTAAACTTAATACATAAGATAATGCTCTGCATTTTTACTATGCACTTTATTTCTTAAACCGCTTGGCTGCTTCATAACGTATATTTTCGGACTGTTAGCGATTCAAGTGGAGGTTCGAACCTCCATCTGGGGCCTTTGGATATCGTATCTCCCCACCATGATAGTCGATTGTCCATTTTGTTACCAATACTTAATTAAGCATGTAAGAATTTGTATACTTCGTTAGCCTAACAAAAGAAAAATAACTAAAAATTGTATCCTCTGTGCCAGTACTATTTTTTGTGGAAAATAGATTAAATGCAATTGATAACGGTTGCAATATATGTACAATGACGCATGTCCATAGTGCGTGGTGTTTAAAAATCGTTCCGCTGTAATTACGTTATATTATATATATAAATGAATGTGATAGAACGTATGATACGGATGGAGATAGCAGTCTATGGAATTACAACAATTGGTGTAATTTGAGTATCCCAGTTTCTTTGCGCTAGTGTCATATCTATTGTATATAATAATCATTGTATCCATGTTATTATAGGTAAATGTCAAAAAGTTGTTATTGGTTGCCATGGTAATACCGTAAAGTTGGTGGCTTTACAACCGACTTCATCATGTAGCTTTTTGGCTGTCGCGCGCATCATAAAAATTGTCTTGAAAGCGATCCTAGTTGGGGTTCGAACCTCCATCTTTGGATCCTCCTCCCTTGGATCATGTGCTCCCCTCCCCCCTCTGTTAGTCGATTGTCCATCTCTCGTTAGCAGGGTGCTGCGGAGTGCACATAACATTCTTGACTGTTGAACAAGACTTGCTTCAAGTTTTGTTTCAAAACTTTCCTTGGTGTAAACAGCACATACAATAATTTCTTAAGCAATTCTTGTATTCAATTGCATTCTCTCTTCCTTTGCAAACATGAGTGCGATGAGTGAGGGTGTTTAAGGCCCATTTACACGGTGCAAGTTTCTTGCCTGTTGTATACAATTAAATTGAAGCAATAAATGAGTTGCATGGTCTAAACAGCACATAACATTCTTGACCGTTGAACAAAACTTGCTTCAAGTTTTGTTTCAAAACTTTCCTTGGTGTAAATAGCACACACAATAATTTCTTAAGCAATTCTTGTATTCAATTGCATTCTCTCTTCCTTTGCAAAAATTTGTGCAATGAGTGAGGGTATTTAATCGTGGCTGTTCTTTTGAGAAAAGAAATATTGAGAAAAGGTCGTAAAAAAAGTTGGATAAAAAAATGAATAATAATATATGGATATATGGATAATAATAAATAAATCTCAACGAAATATATTTAATCGGCATAATCTAACTTGAACACTTATTATTGAGCCATTTTTTAAAAAAAAAACAGCCCTTTGTAAAACGTTCAACACTTGCATGAAAAATTTGTCAACGCAAATACGTGCAATACTTGAAGCAACACGCCAATAAATTGTACACGCACATACAAGCATGTGTTTGGACAAGTCAAAACTTCAAAGCAATATTCGCCTAAACATAATTGCATTGGTGTAAACAAAAGACATTTGCAATTATTTCTTGCCAAGACTTGCATACAATAATCGCATTCAATTTTTTTTACTATATCTGCGTGTAAACTGTTGCTTACAATTCTTGATGGTCAATTATTGCGCGCAATTTATTGCATTCAATTATTGCTCTTGTATGTACAAGAAAATGGCATCGTGTAAATGGGCCTTAACGGAGCGGAGACGTCTTGTGCACCAGCTACGTTGTTCTCCTGAGTCCATCTTCCTGCAGACCTCTTCCGCCGAAACTGTCAAAACCGCCGGTTCAACAGCAACTTAGTTGAAATCATATATGCGATGCTACTCCTTATCTCCTTAGCCCATAAGCCCATAACACCTAAGTATACACTACATATCTGTGTAGATATCATGTCATGAGTGGGTGATATTATAACACAAGGACATACCCTATTCCGTACCATATCGTATTCATATGAACTAAAATGTTTGGTCTAACTGCAGGTAGATATCACATTACGCGGTTTAATAATAATCGCTTAAGGACATTAAACTTCGGTAAAGGTGCGGATCCAGCTTTGGTGCCGAGGGGCGGGGGGGGGGGGGGGGGGGGTCACGTAGTCGTGATAAGAAGTTATAATTTAATGTTTATAATCATAGAAGTAAAAACTAGGTACTTATTTTTAACCGACTTTAAAAAGAAGGAGGTTATCAATTCGGATGTTTTTATGTAGGTATGTTCGGGCATACCTTCGTCATATATAGACGGATTTGCAAAATTATTTTTTGTTCGTAACATTTCGTTACTTTTTATTATCATATATTATACAAGGTGGCTTTTATAAAGGTGCCCAAGTTTACAAAGGAGGTTCAGACTCTGTAGTATAATCGTTTTTTTGAAATAAAAGCAAACTTGTTGTTGGTACTATTGTTATCTTCAGTCTTGTCCACCGAAATTGGAAGATAGTGTTATGATAACAAAATCGATAATTTATGATATTATCGGCAATGTTATTGATGGATCCCTTAAAGTTACAGGTATTTACTTATTACGCAAAAAAATACATTATTGTAAAGTATTGTATGATGTACTATGAAAATTCCCACAAATTGTCGTATAGAAAAGTATATATTTTTTGGATAATTTAAAATTACTAGATACTTATCTTCCAAAAGTTAATAACGCTTGCGCAACTCATTTACTTGAAACAATAATAAAAAATATATTGTCAGATAGGCGTTGGCTGAGAAAATGGGAAGTAGTACGGCCTCATAGAAGACCGGCGTACAGTGAAAATATAATACTTTTGAGTTTCGTCCGGTGAGTGAGATAATCGGGGCAATTTTTATAAAGGATATTAACACATTTGCAAGCCCTCAGGTGTTGTAGATATATTCTTATTAAAACTTATTTCGGAAATGAAGAACAGACGTCCTGTAAAGACGGTAGGAATGCACCTTACTTCGGCTTAGTTCTTTTTAAACGGTTTTATTTAGCTCGACCCGTACGGAATTTGTTTGTTTGGGTCAAAATTAGAAATTGAATTTTAAGCACCTTGCCGTTGTCAGATTGATCTGAAATTTGGTACACACATTTAATTTAGATGACAATACAATATTAACAAAAAAAAAATTAACAAAAAAAAACTTAAAAGTTTTTAAACGGTTTTATTTGTTTACGAGCGAGGGTGAACTATGTCGAATTTACACGTTACACCGAATAAAACTCTCATGGTATTCCACTCACGACGCATATTGGCACTAACACCATTGCCAACAATAAAGCCTGATTTATACTGGTCAACTGTTTAGTGAAGAAGATAAATACAGTGAGTAAGTAGTGGTGTAAACTATCAGACAGTAGCGAGTCAATTTAGCTTGCAAGCTGCCTTGATGTATGTGCACACGTCGCACGCCCGCTTAACATCCACGAGACACTAGATTCTGTAGTGTAAACAATCAAATTAGTACAGCGTACAGCAAAAAATTGCGTCATTTTTGACTTTGTCTCCATTTTGATACATCTTTACGATACCCTATTCCCTGCATTGGCGTTTTCGTTTATGAATACTGATAAAAACTTTGCGTTCCAAGCATCATAGCTATGGTTTTCCGTTACTCCTAAGTGCTGAAATTATACAAACCTATTAACTTTGTGTGAAATAACTGATTTATTGTGCTTTGAGGATTACGCACCGTGACAAATTAACGCAATACGATTTCGAAACACATGTTCGTCTCTTCTCTAACGAAGATAGAAACTGTTTCCGCATTTCGTGGAATCACATCTTTACAATATCAGTAGAAGAAAACTAAGAGTAAACAATTGGTTTGAATAAAACCGGTAACAATGTTGGTTATCCAATGTTGCACGAATCGGCAGGGTCTTTTTTTATGTGAAAAGTTGCCAAGCGAGCAGACGGTTCTCCTGATGTTAAGTGAATACCTTTTTTTTGTTATTATTTCCAAATATTTTTTTTTGTTATTATTTCCAAAAAATCTTTTCCTTCAAAAATGTTTTCCTTCATCGCTGAGCACGTGATAAGTCAGCACTTAAAATGAAAAATAACTCAGGTTGCTCGAGTATATTGAATTAAATCGAACACAGCTATTTCCACATAAAAACTATTAAATAATTTTTGCGATATTACCCTGATATCACAAATTAAACACAGTGTACTTACAGTTACTGTCTAGGATCTGGTTGTTATAGTTATGCATGGATACGCTTGTGTATATATAGGACTCTTTCGCGGGAGGAAAATTAAATTGTGGCTAAATACCATCGCAACTAACTATTTTTTTTAAAGTGTGTTCCTTCATTGATTAAATTCGAGTACATGACTGCCATTAAAATTGGTCCATTAAGATAGGGAAGAAATAAATGTATGCTTTTCAGTAAAAATAAAAAAATAGCATATTAAAATTGAAATTACTTTTTTATTGGTCTGAGTATTAAAATTTCATCGTTTTCATTCTACGTGAGAAAGTTTCAAATGCCGAATCCCTTCTTCTGTAATACTTCATAGTAACACTATTTATTAAATAATACCTTTTGGTACCAAACGTTTTACGATGTCAACTTCCATAAAAAAAATGTTATAAAATACGACATAAATCAGTTTCCCTTTCTATTACCGAAGATCCCTGTGAGGCGATCGGCAAATAACTTTTCTTACTGAATTACTAGAGGCGGTTGACGCGGTTTCCCCTACAAGGCCCTCCCTCCCTCCGTTTCTCCCTCCGTGGAGTGGGCCATTCAGAGACGGTTCGCGAAGCTCTCACGGTGCTTACTTACTCCTTCAGTTTGGCGGGCTTGGTGCTCGCTGTCGGTCGTGTTTTGTGCTACCAGTCTCACCGCTTAAGCTTTTGGCGCGTAAATCCGGAGATCGCGATTTCCTCTGTGACGCCGCACTAAAACTTGAATAACGAATCAACCCCGAAACATTATATGTTCATCGCGAATGATGTCGTTACAATCGGGCATTTTGACATATTTACGATGGCTGATCGCTGTAAACATTTTATTGGTAAGTATATGTTTTGATAGATGGTTTATTTTCTAATCCAGCCAATGATTTCATTATGCCCTCCCATGACTGACTTGACATTGGCAGAAATCTTTATAGATAAGCCACTAAGAAAATAAGTACAGTAGGTATTACAAAAAAAATAAGCAAGATATTATTAACAATGGATATCACAGGCTCAATATGTCTTTTTAAATCATATCTTCAAGTAAATGTGGATATAAGATTTATAATATCTTAGAATCTTAGATTTATAAGATTCTTCAATTTACATTTATATCTGCATGGAATTGGATATATAAAATTGAGATATAAAATTCATGAAACCACTATGAGTATTACGTCTAAATTTTAATTCTTGTCTTCAAAAATATCTATATAACGAAGTTTAATCTTCTTGAAATTTAATTTAATGTTATAAATAGTAATTTGTCTAGAAAAGCACCTGTCGTTACGTAAATGGGTATAGTATGTTGATTAATGTTGTTTCTAAATACTGTGTGATAGAGAAAGTATTAAAGATACATTAATATAATCATTTAATATCTGACATACTTCTCTCTTTTTCTAATGAGTTATAGGTAACCACTAGATGCGGTTTTAGTGTATTGAGTTTAAATCAATGTAAAGAAATCAAATAAGTGTCTACTTGTAATATAATAGCAAAAAAGAAATATATTATTCGAAAAATTGTACCTCGAGAAATTAGAACTCATGATCAACTTTTATAGCCCATAATTAAGAACCCATGTGCGAGCTTTGACTTCGGCCAAAACGAGATAACTATCGCATCCGCTAACTGTATTCGTTGCAACACGTTCCACGGCTTTGTATAGACTATGCCCAGAAGCTCGAGCGTTTCCAAATCGCAATCGTTTTAAGGCGAAACACGATGCTTACGTCGGGAGCAAGAAAGTAGAGCCTCGTAGCTTCTGCTGTCTAAGGAACGAAGAGGCTGCTCCGGAGAATCTCACGTAAGGACGGTGCGGATTTGTAGTATTATACTATTGCGTTTCGTTTGACGAGAGAAGTAACTATGACCCACACTTTTAAGATTGGCAACACGTCTCTAACCCCACAGGTGCTGTAGATGTCCGTACACTATGTATTGTAGTTGTTTATTTACCACCTTCTCACATAAAAAACATCGATTTAATCTCTGCGATCCTTGAAAACCATATGCATCGAAGGGCGTGCCTCGCAATCACCGATCTAAAAACCGCTAGACTGCTGTCTACTATCAATTACCAGCGATGCTCGGGTGCACCCAATTACGAGCTCTAGTTCACATGCTTCCTATTCATAACAGTTTTAACATTAATCGTTGATCAAAGTACCGTTCGACAATGCAATTTTGAATCGAAACATGGAACTACGTCATTATAAAAAGAAGCAAAGCAATTGTTGGCCAATAGCAGAGACGTCGACTCGCAATCTGATATCCTGGGTAAAACTCTGGTCTGTAATAAGTTTTCGACGAACATTTATTAATAGAAAATTATTGCCGTATGTGTACTTGACCTCCAACCACAGATTCGCCATATGAATCTAATCGAAAATAATCTTCACATTTACCTGTAAAAGTAAAGCCGATGTAGAGACAGTTATAGCCTATACTAATATAAATTGTATCTAGGCATGATAAGATATATTTTCTATGCTCAAGTTACAGTAACCACAAATGCAACCAAACCATACACAAATATGTAGCAAATATATAAATATAGAAATACATATTAACCACCACAGTGATACGAAGGCAAAAATTTATAATATATTTAATGTGCTCATCTGTAATGTAGAGTACCAGAGAATTGAGAACTAAATTTTTTAAAGTATCGAATGAATCCAGCTCTTTTGATATTGTTATATTTATGAAGTTATTTTTACGCCGTTCATACGCCATTATATTGGAGAAATTGTGATCCCTAGGCCGACCCGTCCGCTGTGATATTCAGAATTTTGTTTATCGTTACAATACGTCTGCAACAGCAGTAGGAGAGTGTCTACAGCGGCGCGTGAGAATCTCCGGCGATGCAATTAGGGAATGCAGGGTGTGGAGGGTGCTCAATTACTCGCTGTGTGCACTGCTTTTATTGCGATCCTCCTTGTCGATGCAAGGAAATCAACGTCATAATTTTAGAACGGCAGATATGCGTTGGATAAAGATATGCGAAAGTAGGAAGCGCGGAAACTAGTCAATTTTGCATCTATGGTCTTATTGTTGGGCCAGCGAGAACATTTATTTTTATTTTTAAAATTTGAACGCATGGGTTTTGCTCTATCCGAATTCTTTGATCACACCGCGGTATTACGCCATCGGTTAAGTGTTGTGAAATATTCCATTCGCTCGTCTCAAGTGTTAACCCGGTACCAAAAAATCAGTACGCTAATACAGGAACCGTTTGCTTAACTCAATGTTTGTTATATCCCCAAAATATTGTTTCCTTGCTTGTTTGTGAAGCAAAAAAATGTTTTTGAAGTTATACTTCTTTTCCGTGTTTGGAAAAAATATGAAAATAAAATTTTTACGATGCGTAAGCACACTGTACAAAAAAAGCGACATGATGAAGTTGGCTGCAAAGCGAACAAATTCACGGTATTATTATAGCAACCAATAATTCTTTTTGACATTTACCTATAATTGCAGAAATTTATTTAATTAACCCGTTATCAACGGCATTCATCGTCTTTTTTCAAAACCACAGAATACTGGCCTTTCCTTTCTGCTCGTGTCTGATTATTCGTGGTTGGTGGTCGTCGTTCGAGCACGGATGAGATCTCTCCATCGATTCCACCTCACCACATCGTAGAACTTCCGAGATGGTTATGTTATATATGGTTAACTACTTACGTGAATACATAAGAACACACATATTTTTTTTGGAAATTCACAAAAAATCTAACGCGCAATGTTACTTACATAACTATATAATATCAAAATGATTCTCAGGTAAGGACGTTCAATAAACTATTGACAACTAAGAGTATTTGTTTACTTTTTTGTCGCATCAAGAAGCATTCGATTGAAAATTGATGCGAAAGTGGTTAGCAAGATGTCTTTTTTTCTAGAAAAAAAATTACTACACATGCAGCCGCACAGCTACGTCAATGACCCGATCCAATTATAGTTGCGTAATGGAAGAAGATAGTTTTTGAGATTAAATTGGTTTTTTGAGCGCGTTATCCAATTTACGATACTTACGCTGATGGCGTCAGAGTCGAAGAGATCTCGTGATATCTGAGGTATGACCATTGAGCGTTCATATCACTATCAAATGATATAAGATTTGATATATATTTATAATACAGTTTAATTTTAAAGTTATGCCCTTTTATCTGTTGTTCTAGTATAAACAATTTAATTTAATTTATTTTATAAACATTGTTAAATTATGAGCATCAAAGATTGTACTAAAGGTTTAAGCTATGATGAAAATATATAGGTATCTAAGTTTATAATATATTGCTTAAATATTTATTATAAAAATAAAAACCATACAAATAGTCTGTCTTCGTGTGTCTTCTCTTAAAACGAAATCTTCTACGTTTCTAACAGTCTATTTTATCTACTTTTCTTAAAGCTTTTAAGTGCCAAATATAAAAAAAATTATTTATACACACCCAGTTAAATAAGGAACAATTTACGATTTAGTACATCGTTTATCATTGTCTAAAATAAAAAAGAATAATATTCGCTTTAGAGACAATGTTTTCTTGTTTTTAAATCAGTGTTTTAAATAGAGCCCATTATGTACCATAACCTGTGGTGATATCTTTCTCTTGTGCATAGCATGATACATAGAAGACAAAATAAGTTCGATAAATCAGCTCTACCTATCACACTGACGTTAAGGACATATAACATCCTTCAATTCTTAGGAAAGTATAACGAATATGTTCCTCAGTGCTTTAATAATTTTTCAGTAATTAACAATTTAGCAACATGTGCTAAATTTCCTAGTTAAAAAAAATATCATAAATAATAAAAATATTTAATAAATAAAACTTGTTAATTTTGTTAACAGGTTTATTTTGTATGAATGGTGAAATACTTTAAAAGTTCAGATAACAATCATACATATTTCTCTCTTGATGCAACTCCCCAAATAAAACTTTCATTAAATGTAAAGAAAAATTTTCAAATACGTACCAGGCTTATTAGTTATTTCAAATATTTTATATGTTTACTTAAAAATATTAACGGAAATTAGATAGCGTCCATTCACTGTAAACTGCTATTACGCATGACTAGATGTTTTTCAAATTTAAATTCTAATTGTGAAACACAACATCATCATTACGATGTTGCATTTTTTAAAAGTGTATTTAATGGCACTACATCTCTGTTAAGCACAAATAGTGAATAGAATAATTTATCGTGAACAGATACAGCGTAAAGTAATTCTACGGTCATAATATAAGGTCCACACAAAATGTTTAATTGAACTATTAAATTCGTTTTAACAAGTCAATATACGCATGACACTCGATTCCCGTCGTAATTCAAATAAAATCCACATTGATGATTCAAATTTTAAACAACATTAAAGTATATGTCCCACGTAGTTAAACATAGCACGAAACGCGTGTTAAGAAGAAATCATGCGTAACGTTAAGCGGCTTCACTAGCATTTTCCCATTAGCTTTCCCAAATGACGTTCATTTCCGTCCCGGTCCCTTCACAGGCGTTAAATGATGTAAGCGTCGTCTTGAATGAGCTTGACTTGGATATCGTGTACCGTTGCGTGCGTCATCGTATCGACTTCGCCAGCCGGTCGGCTACCCTGCGACCCTGTTTCCCCATCGATCTATGGCCATGGAACCTAGTCCCTCCATATAAGGACAATTGCCGCCACTCGTTGGTGTCTGCCTACATCGAATTTCTTGAGACAACGAATTTTTATCAGTGATTCTATCTATAGTAACGACTTTTATTTTTATATTATACCTATATGAATCTTTATTTACATTAATCTACATTTTTATATTGACTCTAT